CTGAGAAGATAGAGGCTATAAGGCCATTATTGTTTACCCATTAAGTCAATGAGTCAGTCAACAGACATGTATTAATCACTCACTCTGTGCCGTGCACCCTGCTAAGAGCTGGGGATACAAATAAACGAGGAAACAATGCCCATACTCAAGGGGCTCACATTCTAATGGGAGGACAACATGTAAATAACTAGGTATACACAAGATATATACACAGGTGATGGGAGGTAATCTGAAGTGGAAAGGCTCTAGCATTTAAGGAGAAGAAGGAAAGCCTCCAGCAGAAAGTAGGGTTTGTGTTGAAGCTTGAAGGAAGGCAGTGAATCTGAGGACATGAAGAGGGAGAGCATTCCAGGCACAGAGACGAAGTCATGGAAGTAGGAGATGGAGAATGCTGTGTGAGGAACAGCAAGTAGACCTGTGTAGCTGGATCAAAGAGTGTGTAGATGGTAGTAAAGTATAAGAAAACTGGAAAAGTAGGAAAGGGCCAGGTTTTGAAAAGTTTTATGCTAAACAGAGGACTTCATCCCTGATCCTGGAGGTGGTATGTAGCCACTGAGGAGCACTGAACATGGAGGTGATGCAGCCAAAATGATGCTTCAGAAAAATCACTTTGTCAGCTGAGTAGAGGAAGAATTGAAGTGGGGAGAGACTTAAGGCAGGGAGACAAGCAGAAAGCTATTGCAAAGATGATCCCTTGTGGAGTTAAGACGGTAGAATAGCAGGAAATATAGCACCCTTCCAACATAATTCCTCTACAAAGATCTAGGAAATGCACAGACAGTCATAATCAGGAAATTTAAGAGGAAAAAATCACAGTGAATCATTTCTCCGACCCTGGTCAAGGCAGGGAGAGAGAAAGAAGATCTGTGGACACTGGGTATGAGGTTTGGCCAAGGGCTAACCCACAAAACATTGCAGCACATAGGAACTGAAAGAGAACCAAGGCTGTGAACCAAGTAAGAACACACCACAGGTGAACCCTGACCTTGTACATTCACCACCCAGGTGGTGAATGACTGAGAAGAAAACATGAATTTTGGGATGGTGTTCCAGGGTCAGAAGCAATGAGGGGGAAGGAGGGGTAGATTATGTACTGAGTGAGGAACAAGTTTAGAATTTACAAGTAGTTTTATTCTGGCCCCAGGAGCTATGAAGGATCTCACTTCCATCATCCAACAAGCCTATAGTAGAATAATAAGGACAGGAATCCCAGATCAAATGAGAACCTGCAGTTCTATCATTCTGAATCTGTAAAATTACATGGCTGACTGGTAGTAGCTGAGTCCCACAGTAGTCTACTGAAACTTCCAACTAGGGGCAAGCCAACAGAAGTGTTGCACAGATCCAAACCGAGGTCAGGAACTGGCAGAGCTCAGACCAGGAGAGCAGTGATCAGACTTTTCTCTGGATCACACCACTTCAGGGGTGCTGAAAACTTGGAGGGCCCCAGACTGAGCTGTTTCTGAGATTCTGGAATAATACAAAACTGAATACCTCCAAGAAAGCAGCAGAAGGACCCAAGAGGACAAAACTTCAGCTCAGAATTCTCCCCAGAAATGTGTAGAGCCTGGCCCTAATATAAGTCATGAAGTAGGCTAGAAAAATGTGCTAGCAAACAAACAGACAAAATTTCATCATAAAAGGTGCCCAGGTGACGGAATTGCTGCTGCTGCTATTTGTCCTTCATTCCTGAAGAGAACCACGACATCAGGGAGGTGATGCCATGACTTACAAGTGAATTGGATCTAAGTGAGAGAGAACTGTGCAAAGTCACCAGCCTCACTTTCTCCTCTGGAGCCATCTGGTTCCAGTGGCCATATATGGATCAGGACGACTGGAGATGTCCCGGGATGAAGTGGAGGACCTTGGTTTTTCAAGCTAAGGTCTTTAACAGTTTGACTGAGGCAGCACCTATTCAGTGATTAAGACTTAATAAAAATGAGGCAAAGAAACTCCTCTTTAAAAAAATAGATCTAGGAGGGGGAAGACCCTTAGGGATTCTGGCAAAAACAGAAACAATTGTTATTTACATTCATTCAGAGCCAATCAGGACTCAAACAGTGACCAAGTAGGGCTTGGTCTGGAACCAGAGTGATTTGGGGTTAAAGCTAGACTTTAAGAGAAAAAAAATGAAAACAAGTAAAAGAAAGAAAGAAAGAAAGAAAGAAAGAAAGAAAGAAAGAAAGAAA